CCTTTTTCTGAAGAAGGGTCCAGACCCAAAACGTCAGCTTTCCTGCTCCTCTGATGCTGCCTGGCCTGCTGTGTTCATCCAGCTCCACACCTTGTTACCTCAAGTATCAGTAAGCTTTTTGACCACAGGGGAAATCCGAGACACATATGAACCTACCCTCTTCCAATATATAAGCATGTTCATGACTCACTGGAAATTCATCAAATCCAGCACCTTAGAATTATTTTTTTCCCCCTCATCAATGAATACTAGGGTCAACGGCAGTGCCCTCACCACTATCTCAGCTGAGATCAATGATTTCACATTGTGCCTAAATCAAACCAAATACCTCCCAGTCAGCATGGATTAACTACTTTACACCTTCATTAATTAAATCACTGGGACATCAGAGCAGAGACAGTCAAGAGGAAATCTAATAGAGGAATTAAACAACTTGGAGTGATTTGGATCGAGTAGGTAGAGAAAAACTATTCTCATAGGTGGAAGGTTCTAGAATCGGAGGACTCAGGCTTACATTGGTTGGTTAATGAACGAAAGGCATCATGAGAAAAACATTTTCTTTTAAGATGAAGCAAGTGATTAGGATCTATAATGTATTGTCTAAAAAGGTGGTGGAACAGATTATGCCTTGGCCTTCAAAAAGCAATTTATAACATATGTGATGGAAAAATAGTTGCAGGACTGCAGAGAAAGACAGCTAGAACAGGATTAATTGGGTGGCCCCTCTAGTAGTGCAAAGGTAGTGTTCCTATTGAATGGTCTCCTTCTGTGCTCCAACCATTCCATGACGTTATTAAAGCTATCAGTAGGAATGCCAGCAGAAGACAGCTGCACAGTTAAGTGTCCAATATTCAGTGCGCTGACCATAAATTTAAGAGGGCTATCTCCTCAACTGGAATTTTTTCCTTCTCCCTACTTTAAAGTTGTGGATCTGTTTATCTCCCTCAATCCTCCCATCTACTGACAAAGCAATATCTTTTATTAAAAAGCCAAGCTTTATGTTACACTACAACTTTTTGATTGCAGCATTCTTTCACATTTAAGTGTTTACTTGCACAACCTAATGCTTGGCTCCAATGCAATACTACAAGACAGCTGTATTGAAAGTCCACTTAATTGAGACTAGTTAAAGTAAGGACCTTATTTGATTCTAGATAACATTCAAGGAGACACTAAAAATCCTGCTGTGCCTGTTTAACAGCAAGTACTATTCCACGTGTCCTTGCACAGCATTCCTTTCAGGTGACATCACCAAAATAGAATTAATTGATGTTTCATCTTATTACTATTAGTGGGATCTTACTGTGCAAAATATCTGCCCTCTTTGCTCCCATAACAACAGTTGCTGCACTTAAAACTTAATTAGCTGAAATCTTTAGCTGGTGTTTCAGAAATAAGATAATATAAAATTAATCTTCCTTTCAGAAAGGTTTCTGGGTCTTTCAACAACACCTTTGAAAGAAATTTATTATAAAAGGACTGCAAATGTTCTTTTCTGGAAACCATAATTGAGGAAAATGGAATTTAGCTGATGACGCGTTTTTTGAAAGTTTTGGTTCTCAATTGGCCACAAGTAGCATTATGCTAATATCCTGATGATTTAGATGAACTGGATTCAGCTGACCTCTAAATTGTTCACCAAATTTATGTTGTGTGTTGATCATTTTTGGTGTTTTTCTCCTTCCCATTGACACCTTCACCTTTTTGAGAGTGTGCAATAGCTCCGCTATAATTCTGCATCAAGTCATTAAATATAAGGCAATTCTGAACAAATCACCCAGTACAATAAATTTTGTGGTTATAGGAGACGGTTTCTGGCGAACATGATTGTAAATATATAAAAGCAAGAAGCGCAAGATAATTAGTGCTTTCCAACAGATTTTAACACCCATGTTCCCACTGTCCTCCCATCTACTAATGATGCCAGCTCAGCGGCCTAGGTCCTGTCTAGGAAATATACATTAAGTACTGGTCAGGTGGTTGGTGAGGAGACAATGCCAGTTGAATAATAATCTTCCCCACCCCTCATTCCTCTACACACTGACACTAGCTTTGCAGAAGACAACAGCCAGCACATTCCAGTCGTCACCGTTTGAATATAGTGTAAAAGAAACCTTGTATTTACATACACATCTGAGAAACATTTAAAGTAGCTTCTCACATCATGAAAACAAAAGACTGTGGATGCTGGAAACCTGAAAAAAAAACACAGAACATACTGGAGAAACTCAGCAGGTCTGGTGGTATCCATGGAGTGTTGAAAAGAGTTAATATTTCAAGTCCACATTTAGACCATTTAGAATCATATTATAATTCTTAGAACAAATATAATGAACTTTTTTGAGCCAGGTGTGTGCTGTTGTATGGCCAACCATTTTACACTTAGCTCTTATTTTCTGTGGTATTGAGAATCACTGTTTGCATTTAGTTAGCAGTAGATCAAAACTGTTCTTTAAATTTCCCATCAATATATTAAAGGATGTGAACATGCACTATCAACTTTCACATTTAAAATGTGTTTACATAGGGACTACACATCTTACAGTAATTGCATCCTGTCACAAGTGCTTGTACAATTGTCTCTCTCCCAGGTCCTCAGCCTCTATTGAAGACAAACTGCTATGCTTCAAACAATAAATTGCTATAATTTTATTCTTTTTAGCTATACATAGTAATGAAACAAAATTTTAGATTAAAATAATGGCAGAATGTAGAGTCCAGATCCAATTATCCAGAGCCTTCTGGACAAGTTTCACCTAAAGACTACACTTAAATTTGTCTCGCAAACTGGGCTACGACTGGTGTTCAGAACCTATGGAAATATTCAGTTGGGCATCCTGCAATTTTCACAGCATCGCTTTAAAATTTTTCATTCATGTGATAAGTTCAAAGCATAAACAGCTGGAGGTTAGGAGTTTAATTATCTGCCAGGGATGGGGCAGTTTTGCGAGTGTGACAGAGGCCTGTCACCATGTATAACAACCTCCAAAACAGACTATTGAGGAAACCATGCAGGTGGTATTTCTGATCCCGGTATGGAGTACAGGATTAGAGTATTTTGGAAATGTTATGGAGGAGCAGCATAAGTGGTTAGCACTGCTACCTCAAAGCACCAGGGACCCAGATTCGATTCCAGCCTCGAATGACTGTCTGTGTGGAGCTTGCACCTTCTCTGTGTCTGCGTGAGTTTCCTCTCTCAGTCCAAAAGTGTGCAGGTTAGGTGGATTGGCAATGCTAAATTGCCCATATACTGTCCAGGAACATACAGTCTAGATGGATTAGCCGTAGGAAATGCAGGGGGGTGTGTTTGAGTGAAATGCTCTTTGGAGGGTCGGCGTGGACTCGATGGACTAAGTGGCTTTCACACTGTAGGTGATTCTATGATATAAATTCCATACTCCTGTCCTCCACAGCAACAATCTCAGGCTGAACCTGATATACATTTACCTGTCCATGTCTTGAACCATGGAATTCCTTTCCCAAATCCTTCTGCCTCTCCTCTTTTAAGATCCTTTTCAATAATTAACTGAGTCAGACTTTTGGTAACATGCTATTCTTGCCCCTTATACTTTGAAGTATTCTGGCATGTGCTACCTTACAACTGGTACAGCAATGCAAGGTGTTGTCAGTACCTCGGAGATGCTTTTAGTACACTACATTTATATATCCTTCAAATGGTCTAAGGGCTGCATGAAGGAACAGCAACTTTCAGTCTGCCCTGATCAATGTTCCTAGACATCAACTCAACACTCCTGTGACATAAATATAATTATACCAGCCTTCACAAACCAGTCAGAGTAGTGAAGGAACTGCCAGTGAAAATGGAGAGTGGTTAGAATATGTAATTCACTAACACATGGAGCAGACGAGGAAAGTCACATTGGTGCATTTAAGAGGAAGCTAGCTAAGTGTGATGAGGAAGGATTTGCCGATAATAAGAAGATAAAGTGGGATGGAAGGAAACTCGTGTGCAGCATAAACATAGGCATGGACAGAATGGGCTGAATGGCCTATTTCCATGCTGTAAATTCTATATAACGAATGGTGTGTTTGACAGCTGGTAATATTTTAAACTGCAAAATGGCACTTTCTTCCTGTGAAAAGTAATCAGAATGCTTTTTGTGGGCATATCAAACTACAACCAGCACTATCACCTCCCTTGGCATTATAAACACAGCGGGTCAGCTAAGTGTGTCACAGTGTGCTTAAATTACAATGCAGACTTCATAACACAAGCAGAGTGCTGTGCGTCTCTAGCTAGCTGTCAACAGCCAGACACTGCACATTCAAAAATAAATCTAATAACTCTATCATGCTTGATTCATGTTCTTTTGTCAACTTGCTCCTGCATTACAGAGTTTGGAAATTGGTGGTGTAGTCACAGTGAGGATGATCATTCCAGTCTCCAAATGACTTACCAGAACTTAAACTCTGGCAGCCTTCTTATAAATGGTCTAAATTCCTCATTTTGCTTTGTTGGTAAAGCAGGTCCATCATCTGGGAAAGAGAGAGGAATAACAATTAATATTTACCAATAGTCACACACGAAGAAAGAACTTTAACATACATAGCACTTTCACAACCTCAGAGGGTCACAAAGTGCTCTATAGCCAATGAGATACTTTTGAAGCGTAGTCACCATGGCAGACAAATTGTGCACAGCAAGATCCCACAAACAGTGACATTCAGAGACTGACCATGTCTCCTTGACACCACCTGTTCTTGTGTTAACCAAATCACACAGCAGCTTACAAAATATTCTATTTACTGTATAACGTTCAGTATATTGCTTTTCGATTTTTTTTGAAATGATATACGAGTAGCCTTAAAAACTATCAAGTGCAAACAGACTGTTAATCTCACCTGTACCTTTACACGAGATTTGTGTCCAATTTCTAATTACTAAATAGGTACAGTCACTATTTGATTTTATTGAAATCTATCAAAGATAGGCTGACTGAGCAATTGCATCAATGTGAACTGATCAGAGATGGTCAGCATGGATTTGTGATAGGGGTGTCATATCTGATTAACTGGTTGAATGTTTGATGTGGATGGAATGCATTTCTCTGCCCAATGGCAGGAATCTGCAGTTGTAGGAAAAAGATTGGATTTAGCACAGTGTTAACCAATATCAAGAGTTAAATACAAAGTATGTCTAAAGGAGTGCTGGTACCTGTGAAAATATGGCCCAACAACAGGCAGAATCTTTGGGTGAACCCCATTGTCTTGTAAAACTAAATTCCTACTGTGTACCCAGAAGACTAAATGTGGATTATCAGTCAGAGGAATAGTGTCAGGTGAAAGCATATACAAGGAGAGAATGAATGTAAAAACATAAATCAACCTGAATTAATAATTGCATTTTCCCTACTATATGAGCTATGGGCCCAAAGGGAGCCCTACTAGCAGTGTAATTGCTGCACATTCACAGCATCAAATCAGTCAGACAAGTAAAGCTCATTGATTAAATTTGACATTTCTTTCGTAGTCGTAATTATTACCCACACACACAAAGGAGAGTCATTCAGTGGTGCACACAAACAGCAGCAAGCCATGAAAAGAATTCTTCTGCTGACAACCTGCCATCTGCGACAGGCGCAGCATCAACATAAAAGACTCACCAGTTCTCAAATCTGCATTGCCCAGACAGTCATTGGATTTGCAATAAATTTAAAGCTCCTGACAGAACCACCTAAAATTTTCAGAGATGGGCAGTCAACCCTGGGATACTACAAGCCAGAACCACTGCAGGTCACAGGGAAAACTTAACAACAGCCTCCTCGTCTCCATGAATCACTGTAACAGCACCAATTTCAATATCTAACATTGCTCAGCCTGACCATCCCTCATGGAGGAACAATTAGATAAACACAGTGGCTTTCAACAAGGATTAAATTAAAAACACTTTTCAGGACAAAACAAAAGTAAAAACATCACAGAATGCACTGACTTGGAGACAGAAAGGACTGCAGATGCTGGAAGCCAAAGTCCATAGATGTGAAGCTGGAACAGCACAGCAGGTCTAATAGCATCCAAGGAGCAGGAAAGCCAACGTTTCGGTCCAAAACGTTGACTTACCTACTCCTCGGATGCTGTCTGATCTGCTGTGCTTTTCCAGCTTCACATCTATTGACATAACGCACAGACCTCACTAAAACATTTCAGACCTATACCATGGTCTCCATATTCAATGATGGAACATAATGGCGTAAACTTTCTTTGCAGAGAATGCTTAGCATGTAGAATTTTCAGTCAGGAACTACTACTGAAGGGGAGCCTGCATGTTCTTTTTTAAAGAAGTGGTAAAATTGGCAGCCCATCCTCCAGTAGCGCACTACAGCTGCAGAGTGTGTCATCTATAAGATATACTGCAGCAAAGCACCATGGCTTCTTCAAGAGCACGTCCCACACCTGCAACCTGGGCCACCTCAAAGAACAAGGGCAGCAGATGCATAGGAACACCACAAGTTTACCTCAAAGTCACACGCTATCCTGACTTGCAACTATATTACTGTTCCGTCCCTGTTGCTGCGTTAAAATCCGGGAATTTCCCTCCTAACAATTCTGACATGTACTTACACCACAGGATTGGAGCGTTCAAGCAGGTGGTTCACCACCACCTGGTCAAACATGGGTAATAAATATTGATCTTTCCACATTCCACCAACCAACGAAATGGAAGCAGAACACAATAAGAGAGAAATGTTGAAGTGTACGGTGAATAAGGGGAGCTGGACTACATTTGGTGTCTCATGGAGAAAAACACTGGCACCAGCAGGACTGAATGTCTTGTTTTATTGCTGTAATGTTCTTCAATGGCAAAGCAAGCAAAAAGAAAATCATTCTTCATTTATTAAAAGCATAATATTCAGTGCTGAAAATTGGAAACAAATAAAACAGTAAGTGATGCAAGGAAAATCAGCATTTGTTGCAAGGAAGAACTGTGTAGATCCTCCTACAATGCTGAAAAATCAGCTTCAGGTACAGCTTGGGCATGGTAACAATGCTTTCAAAAAGTGTTAACAGACTCAGCATCAATTGTTTAATCACACATTTCCAACATGGTAGAAATAAATCTTTTTAATTTCTAGTTAACTGGAAGTTTCTTAAATCTGTCTTCCAATTCACTAATCATAGCATAATTTTACATGCTGCTTTTACTTGCAATATCCATTTCTCCATTCAGCTGAGATCGTGCCCTTTCTTCCCACTCAATCTTTTTCCCTAACAAATACAAATTGAGTTTGATCATTATGTTTGTCATCATTCTCTTCCAAAAAGAAAGGAATCAGATTTCATACAGGTCTTAGAGTTCTGCAAATTAATGACATGTCAAATCCTCAACCCCAAAAATCCATTGAAGTCACAGTACCTGAATCTTCCATTAGTGAAGGGTCAACTTTTGGGGACAGGAAAGCAATGAAGAGGTTCAGGTGGTAAATCCCCAAGGCGTACGTCACAATGTACCATCCCTGAACAATAAAAATACCACAAATTAGCATCCAAAGAGACAGAGTGTTCTAAGGACATAGATCATTAAAAATGTCACAGGCAGGTACAGAAGATATTAAAAGACAAACGGAATGTAGAAATTAAAGTACCAGATCTGGAGTACCAGGTTCGATTCTATGCATCGCACCCGAGGAAGAATAAATTAGTCTTGGAGGTTGTGTGGCATAGATTTACCAAAATAATGTCTGAAACCAACTTCAGAATTCTTGCTCCTCAATACCCACAAATTACTGCTGTAGGTGGACTATATGTACGTTCAACCATGATGCTCAGTGCAGTCAAAACATCTACTGTCTGAATTTGTACAGTACATGGGAAGACTCCTAAAGGGCAAATAGCGTGCATTGATGCACCTCAATATGGTCAGCCTATTCAGGAGATTAAATAAGAAGTGAAAGAGTGAAGACAAGTGGAATATTTGCTAGAAATTGGACGATATTAGATCTAAACCAGACCAATACAATAACACTCGCCACATTTTCCATTCAGTAAGGATTTGCTCAGTGCCATGCTCAAAAGACAAGGGTAATTAGTTTGCTTCACTGGCTTTTCCTCTATTTGCTACTTCAATATTGCACTCAGTTCACAGCCAGTAGATACATAATGGGGCATTTTTGCTTCATGCCATAGGATCTCATATCATTAGTCTGATCTGGCTTTGATGCCAGGTCACAAAATCAGACAGCAGAGTCCGACTGCTTTGTCCCTTATTCCGTACCCCCTCCTCAATAACTCCTCAGCAAAAAGACAAAGGGTTGTTTGCAGGGGTTTACTCCTCAGTTTTCTGAAGATCAAGGCAAGAACCTGTGTCGCGACAATAGTTATGGAGCATTTAATGGACTTTGTTGTGGACACCCAGTGACAGCACAACCATATACTCACCTGCAGGATGTAAACTCTAATCATGTAGACTGCACCAAAGACAAATGTTACAATCCATCGCATGATGCCATGGGGTGTGGACTTGTCTAAGAAGGACTGGTAGATCTACAAAAGAACATTTTTAAAGATTTCAGCATTTATTTCTATGTTGATTTTACCTTTAAACAGATTAATACACTACCTTGTCAAATCTTCAAACCAGGAAGGTGTTGCCTTAATTTATCACAACCACGGCCAGCTACTGAGTTGCTACAATGATCTCAGGGATCCTGAACGAATGAGAAGCAAAAGGGGAATGTTACGCAAGGATTCTTTCTGAAATAAAAACAGAAATTGCCAGCAAAAATCAACAAGTCTGATAGCATATGTGGGAAGAACACAGAGTTATCATTTCAAATCTCGTGACTGAAACATTAACTCTGCTTTCTTCCCACACATGCTGCCAAACCTGCTGACATTTGCCAGCAATTTCTGTTTTTGTTTCAGATCTCCAGCATTTGCATTTCTTGGTGTTGTTTTAGATTCCTTCTGAAAGCCGTTTGTGTAGATCAGTCAAGAACCAGGAGATCTATATTCCCTCACTCTCCCTCTATAATCTAGTAGTCTGCCAAAATAATGACTATGTGGGCAGCATGACAGGTATTTAACAGTAGAAATATACCCCAGATGAATCTGTGCCCTCTTTACAGGAAGTAAAAAAAAAATGCTTTCTTTGAACCATCAACCACGAATATTTTGTGTCAGTATTTACTGTGGAGAAAGACATGGAAGCTAGGGAATTCAGGGAAATAAATACTGATGTCTTGAAGACAGTCCTGGAGGTGCTGGAGGTCTTAAAAAGCATAATGGTAGATAAATCTCTGAGTCCTGATCAAGTGTACCCCACAACATTGTGGAAAGCCAGGGAAGAAATAGCAGGACCCCGAGCAGAGATATTTCTATTGTCCACAGCCATAGGTGAGGTGCTGGAAGGCCGGACGGTGGCTAAGGTTGTGCCTTTTTTTAAGAATGGCTGCAAGGAGAAGCCTGGGAACTACAGACCAATGAGTCTGACATCAGTGGTGGATCAGTTGTTGCGCGGAATTCTGAGAGACAGAAGTTACATGCATTTAGACAGGCAAGGAGTGATTAGGGATAGTCAGCATGGCTTTGTGCATGAGAAATCATGACTCGTAAACTTGGACCAGTTTTTTGAGGATAGATGAAGGCAGGGCGGTAGATGTTGTCTACATGGACTTTAGCAAAGCCTTTGACAAGGCTCCATATTGTAGGTTGGTTAGTAAAGTTAGGTCACATGGGTTCCAGGGAGACCTTGTCAAATGGATACAAAATTGGCTTGATGGTAAGAGACAGAGGGTGGTGGTAGAAGGTTGTTTTTTGGATTGGAGGCCTGTGACCAGCGGTGTGCCACAGAGATCGGTGATGGGTCCACAGTTGTTTGTCATTGATATGAACAATTTGGATGAGAATATGGGATGAAAATTGGTGGTGTAATGGTCAGTGAAGAAGGTATTCTAAGTGTACAATGGGATCTTGATCAACTGGTCAATGGACCAATGAGTGGCAGATAGAGTTTAATTTAGATAAATGTGAGGTGTTGCATTTTGGCAGAACTTACACAGTTAATGGCAGGGCACTGGGGAGCTTTGTCAAACAGAGTGATCTAGAGGTTCAGGTACATTGTTCCTTGAAAGTTGTGTCACAGGTAGACAGGGTAGTGAAGAAGGTGTTTGGCATGCTTGCCTTCATTGCTCAGACCACTGAGTAAAGGAGTTGAGACGTCATGTTGCATTTGTACAGGATACTGGTGAGGCCACTTTTGGAGTGCTGTGTACAGTTCTGGTCACCCTGCTATAGGAAGGATATTATTAAATTGGAAAGGGTACAGAAAAGATCTACCAGGCTGTTGCCAGGGTGGAGGGTTTGAGTTATAAGGAGAGGCTTGGACTTTGGAACATAGGAGGCTGAGAGGTGATCTTGTAGAGGTTTATGAAATCATGAGGGACATAGATAAGGTGAGCAGCCAAGGTCTTTTCCCTACGGTAAGGTAGTTTGAAACTAGAGGGCATAATTTTAAGGTGAGAGGAGAAAAATTTAAAAGGGTCCTCAGAGCAACTTTTTCACACAGGTGATTCATAAATGGAATGAACCGTCAGAGGAAGTGGTAAATGCAGGTTCAGTTACAAGACTTAAAAGACATCTGAGCAGGTACATGATAGGAAAGGTTTAGAGGGATATTGGCCAGAAGTAAGCAAATGGGACCAGTTCAGTTTGGGAACCTAGTTGGCATGGATGACTTGGTCCAAAGGGTCTGTTTCTGTGCTGCATGACTTTATGATTCTAAGTACACATTTGCTAGATTCAACTCACTTTTTGTGCCAAACATTTCTCTATAATATTCTTAAAATGGATAGAAGTGCGGTTCACTCCTATTCAATAATTAATTGGGGGTTTAAGAGGGAGAAAAGAAGGAGGATGATGTCTTACCTGTCCAATCTGCGTAAAAAACCTGCTGATTGCTGATGGTTTCCCGTGAATGGCATCTCCACTGCTGTCCCCTTCTGACATAATGTTTCTAACAGAACAACAATACATTTTGAGAGTTTGGACACTTCTGTTTTCATTAACAGTTTAGATCACATTAACCTTACCCCTCCCAACCACTGCAGTTTCCACCAGCTCCCAAACCTTTCACTTACCGTGCCCTCCCCAACTCTGTACTACCTACCACCAGTACGGAACTCCTTCCTTGAATCCCTTTATTATGTTACACCTTGCTCCATTCAAACACTTCCTTAAAACCCTTTCAGCACACTTTTAGTCTTTTCTCCTTGCACCCCCTTCTTGTTTGAGTCTGACAGACTATGATGAACCTTCTTAAAATATGTTGTTAGGCAAGTGCTTAATAAATGCAAGCTACTACTGTTTCATCACCCTCAACGCTAAACACCATCAACTCCAAATCCATTCTGACACCTCATTTTCCTCATTTAATTGGAAGAGTTATTATACTGGACTAACAGTACAGAGTTTACAAATTCAAATCCCAACCCAGCAAGCTATGAAATCAAACATGATAAAATCTGCAGGCCAGCACAAGAAGAAATGCTCACGAAGACTGCTGGATTGTGAAGCATAACACTAGTTCATCAGTGCCGTTCATGGAAGAGAAGGAAACCCATTTTCCTTACCCAGTTCGATTTGTATATCACCCTTCCCAAACATTGACACAATACCCTCAAGGAAACTAGGAATGATAAATAGATACAGCTTTGCCACCGCTGCCCAGCCCAAGATCAAGTAAAAATGCAAGGTGTTGGATTTTCACAATATCAACTGTAGTGCTGATTTTACGTACAAAAGCAACTAACATACCTAATTTAATTGGAGTTTTATAACTCAAACAATAAAATCGGCTCCTTCAATAACTGTGTTCCTACGATATTCTTAACTCAGACTTTAAAGCAACAATGTAATTTTTACAGCCTGTCTATACAATCATCCAGCCAGAGCTCCAGATCAAGGGCTGTACAGAAACTGCAAACAATGATATATTCTTGTCTGACAAGATGGCTCAATGTTAGTGTCTTGTACCTTGGCTGAGAGCTCAGGGAGCAGTGACACGCCTTTTCTTTTACCAAGTGCACAATTATGCACAGCTAATGGATGATCAGATGTCATCAGGGAGCCTTTCATTGAGGAAATACAACTGAAGGAGTTCACCTCAAGCAAGAGGGTAGCACTGAGCAAATTCTGAGGACGGGTCACTCAAACCGAAACGTTAACTCTGATTTCTCTCCTCAGATGCTGCCAGACCTGCTGAGCTTTTCCAGCAATTTCTGTTTTTGTTTCTGATTTACAGCAACCACAGTTCTTTTGGTTTTAATTGAGCAAGTCAAGGTTTCAGGGGAAAGTGGAGGAAGTTGGAGTGGATTAGATTTCTATCATGACTATTTCGATTCTGGTCACAAGTCTGATGACAAGTCAATTATTTTTTCAGGAAAACGGTCCATTCAACATACATATCCAACAATGGTTCTAATCTAATTACAGTTTTATTACATGGGACTCCATTTTTGCCAGTGTTTTGGGATGACATTCCATGATCACACCCAATCATGAGAAAAGAGCAATAGTAACTGGTGATGCAACAACAAAAATTCTTTCTGTTTTACCAATCCATTTTTAACTGGAATCAAACCATCAAAACGGCCAGCTTTTTCAACCTCTACTGCAACACAATTACATGGAGGGCAAACTGACCCATTGGCCAAATTAAATAATTCATTGATAGAATATGCTTTTTATGTAACATTTTCTCCCCCCTCCCCGTCAGAGAAAGGAATAGAAATCACTCTCAGGCATTTATAGAGAGAGAGAGCTGGCTTCTCCCTCCCCAGTAACATGTCTCACCTTTACCTTGGCAAATCATCTACCTAGCATGACACTGTTTCTCATACCACTCGTCCTGCGGTCTGAACGAGATTGTCAATTTGTCCTGAATTAGCAGTAATCCAGTACTGCAGTTAAGTAACTGGGCCCGAACTACCAAAAAAAAACTTTCTTCAGGAAATGGGCTGCAAAGGTACTTGAACCCAGGATAATATTTACTGCAAAAGGCACTATGTGAAGTCCAATGTGACAGGTAGAGAACTGATTGGGAAGCAGACAGAATCAGATAACAATGAGATACACAACATTGATTAGCTGATTATTGACTGCTTGCTCAAAAGGCCTCAGTCCAGAGGTAACACACTCCTGTTATTTAAAATCAATCATAGCATTGTCTGTTCTAACTTGGTCTTTGTCAATAAATTTCCACTTCTCCCAGGCTTCTGTTCTTCCTGGGTGTCAGCAATGACAGTGGTTGCACTCTGGAATGTAATCAGATGGTTGTGGGCTGAAGAATGATCTAAACAGACAATCCAGCAGAGTACTGAGGAACTAATGCACTGTCAGAGGTGCCATCTTTGAGTGGAGACATTAAACAGAGACCCTGTTTGCTGCTCTTAACTAACATTCCTAAAACAGATTAACCATTTTATCAGTAATTTGAGAGAGCTTGGGTGAACATTGGCTGCCACATTTCAGAAATGTTTCATTGCCTGTGAAGTGTTTTGGGATACCCTGAGGTTAACCTGAAAGATGCTTTATAAATGAAAGATCTTACTCTCTCAAATGCTGGGTGAAGAATGAAGGCAGTGTTAAAGTGAGAAGTGAGACTGCTCCTGGGTACTTGAGAATGTGATGCAGTAGCTGAAATCGATAAGAATCTGATAATGCCCATGTGAGAGAGTACAAAAATAGAAGAAAGGATGTGTGGAGCATGACAGTGCAAGTCAAAAGAGAAGCAGCTGATCAAATTGATCTGTTAGCTACTCAGAGGAAAATAAATACAATAACCATCACTAGAAGGAAGTGTTCTGGGAAACAAATGTTACTAAAAACCAGTAAGTCCCCTGGATATGATGGGATGCATCCTAAGATATTAAAAGAAGTAATGACAGAGACAGAGATATACACTGGCTGTAATTTTCCATGAATCCTTGGAAAATTGCCAATATAATACCTTTATTTAGAAAAGGAAGAAGTCAAAAGTAAACAGGTGACTATAGGCTAGTTAGTTTAATGTCTGTTGTTGGTAAAATGTTACAGTTTATGATAAATGATATAATAACAGAGCATTTAGAAATACAATATGATCAAGCAGATTCAGCATGGCTTCATGAAGGGGAAGTCATGTCTGACAAACTTACTAGAAACCTTTGAGGAAGTAACAAGGAGGATAGATAAAGGGGAAATTGTCGATGTAACACATCTGGATTTTTAGAAGGCATTTGATAGGCTACTTAATAAGACCCCAAGGTGTTTGAGGTAGGAGATTAGCATGGATACAGGATTGGCTAACTAATTAAAAAAAAAAGAGAAGGGCTCTTGAGGCACAGTGGTACTGACCCTACCTTTGAACTAGGCAGCCTGGGTTCATAGAATAGAATCATAGAATCCCTACAGTGTGGAAACAGGCCCTTCGGCCCAACAAGTCCACACCGAACCTCAAAGCATCCCACCCAGACCCAGCCCGCTATAACCCACCTAATCTACACATCCCTGAACACTACGGACAATTTAGCGTTGCCAATCCGCCTAGCATGCACATCTTTGGACTGTGGGAGGAAACTGGAGCACCTAGAGGAAACCCACGCAGATATGGGAGAATGTGCAAACTCCACACAGACAGTCGCCCGAGGGTGGAATCGAACCCAGGTCCATAGAACATAGAACATAGAACAGTACAGGCCCTTCGACCCACGATGTTGTGCTGAACCTTTACCCTAAAACTAAGGTCTATCTAACCTCCACCGCTACATTATACTATCATCCATATGCCTATCTAATAGCCACTTAAATGCCCCTAATGAGGCCGACTCCACTACCCTCTCCAGCAATGCATTCCACGCCCCTACCACTCTCTGAGTAAAGAACCTACCTCTGACGTCTCCCCGATATCTACCTCCTTTCACTTTAAAACTATGTCCCATCGTAAAAGCTACCTCCACACCCTAGGAAAAAGTCTCTGGCTGTCTACTCTATCTATACCTCTGATCATTTTGTACACCTCTATCAAGTCACCTCTCATCCTTCGTCATTCTAAAGAGAAAAGCCCTAGCTCTCTCAACCTTTACTCGTAAGACCTTCCCTCCATTCCAGTCTACATCCTGGTAAATCTCCTCCGCACCTTTTCTAATGCTTCCACATCTTTCCTGCAATGAGGTGACCAGAACTGGACACAATACTCCAGAAGTGGCCGAACCAGGCTTTTGTATAGCTGGAGCATAACTTCACGGCTCTTGAACTCAATCCCTCTATTAATGAAACGCCTTCTTAACAACTCTATCCACCTGGGTGGCAGCTCTCAGAGAACTGTGAACATGAACCCCAAGATCCCTCTGCTCCTCCACACTGCCAAGAATCTTTCCGTTAACCCTGTATTCTGCTTTCAAGTTTGTCCTTCCAAAATGAATCACCTCACACTTTTCAGGGTTAAACTCCATCTGCCACTTCTCAGCCCAGCTCTGCATTCTATCAATGTCCCTTTGTAACCTAGAACAGCCCTCCGCACTGTCCACAACGTGACCCACCTTCGTATCGTGTGCGAACTTGCTAATCCACCCTTCCACTCCTTCATCCAAAGCATTTACAAAAATCACGAATAGAAGAGGACCCAGAACAGATCCTTGTGGTACACCACTCGTAACTGAGCACCATGTTGAATATTTTCCGTCCACTACCACCCTTTGTCTTCTAAGGGTCAGCCAATTCGGAATCCAATCTGCCACATTTCCCCCTATCCCATGCCTCCTTACCTTCTGCATGAGCCTACCATGGGGAACCTTATCAAACGCCTTACTTAAATCCATGTATACCACATCCACTGCTCCACCTTCATCCACGTGTTCGGTCACTTCTTCAAAGAATTCAATAAGGTTTGTGAGGCATGATCTACCCCTCACAAATCCATGCTGACTATCACGAATCAAACTGTGCCTTTCCAAGTGATCATAAATCCTGTCTCTC